GGGAGTCTATAATGCACAAAAAATATTAATTTTCCAAAATACCTTAGCTGTAATTATTCTGAAAAGTGGCTGCTTCTGGAAATCAGGTTGTTATATTTATAACTATAAAAGAATAAGAAATAGGAAATGAGTACATCATTTGGTACCTTGAGCCTGCTCTACCATTCAAAAGGATTATCGCTGATGTGCCATTCCTCACATCCACAGTCCTGCCCTTTCTCCATAATCCTTGATTTCCTCACCGATCAAGAATCTATTTTTCTCAGTCTTAAATTTACATGAGAACTCTGGCCCCACAGCTCTATGCGGCAAGGAGTTCCAAAGGCTCACAGTCTTCTGAGAGAAGAAATTCTTCCTCATCTTAGTCTCAAATTGACATCCTTAATTTTGAGAGTATGCCCTGTGGTCCTAGACTGTCTTTTGAGGGGAAACACCCTCGCAGTATTTACTTTGTCAAGACCTTTAAGAATCCCATGTGTTTCAATGAATTCATCTCTCATTCTTCTATACCCTAGTGAGTAGAGTTCCAACCTGTTTAGCCTTTGCTCAGAAGACAATCCCTTCTTACCGAGGATCATCCCAGTGAACCTTCTTTGAACTGCCTAGAACGACATGACCAAAACTATCCACAACTCCAGATGTGGTCTCATTATCACCTTGCACAATTGCAGTCAGATTTCCTGATTCTTATATTCTAGCTTCATGAATAAGGACCAACATTCCATTAGTCTTCCTGGTTACTTGCTGCACCTGTGTGCTAGCTTTCATTTCGTTCTGTTTACAATTACACCTAATTCCCTTTGTGTTGCAGCTATTTACAGTTTTTGACCATTTAAATTTTGCTCTGTTCTTCTGTTCTCTCTTCCAAAATTAACAACTTCACATTTCCCCACATCATATTCATTTGGTAACTTATACACATTTGCAACTTATACACGTTTGCCAACTTTTTGCCCACTTACTTAACCAATCAATATAAACTGTTTATACTCCTCTTGCAATTTGCTTTTCCACTTACTTTTATGTTGTCTGCAAATTTGGCCACAGTGCATTCATTTCCTTTCTCTAAGTAATTAATATATTTGTAAACAGTTATGGTCCCAGTGCTGATCCATGTGGAACCTCACTGGTTACAGGTTGCTAAGGTGAAAAACATCGCCTTATTCCCATTTGCTGTTTATTGCCCATCACCAATTCTCTATCCACACAATATACTACTTCCAACACCATGGGCTTATATTTTTTGACTTAACCTTTTGTGAGGTACTTTGTCAAATGCCCCTGGAAGTCCAGATATAACACACCTACTGGTTCCCCTCTTTCACTCTTGTTGAGACTTTCTCAAAAAAACTCTAATAAATTAGTCAGATACGATTTCCCCTTCATGAAGCCAAGCTGATTCGGCTTGATTAGATTATGTGCTGCTTGTACTTCCTTAATAATTGACTCCAACAGTTTTCCAGTAATAGATGTCAGACTAATCAGCTTATTGTTACCTGCTTTTTGCCTCCCTTCCTTTTTGAATCGGGGTGTCACATTGGCAGTCTACCAATCCTACAGTATTACTCTAGAATCCAAAGATTTTTAGAAAATTACAACCTCTGATTCAACTTTGAGGATAAATGCTGGTATCCCAATTCTATTTTCAGACATGTTCCTACACAATCAATAATACTGTACTGAATGGTTCTTCAAAATCTGGTCTCAGTTTTAAATGTGCTAGTTTGATTGAATGTTGAGATTTTCCCACTACCCATCCAGTATGACATGTTTCACAGAACCACACTACATCCTTATGAAGTATTCACCAGATAAAATGCCTCTTTATCAATGTTTGACCTTTCAGTACTCCTACATTACCTGCCATAGGAATTTCATTTCCTACTCACAATATTTCCTTATGATATTTAGACAGTACCATTATCTGATGAACAACCTCTTCAGCAGATCTGTGAGGCTGGTCTCCATATCCTTCCCCGAACTTTGTTTCTAACATAATAATTCCTTCAGCCCCAGCTTCAGTGTGAGCTGGCTATGTTAACCTACTTCATGCTGGATTTATTTTGAGCCTCTATTGTCCTAATCACTTCTTCTGAATTATCCCCATCCTTAAAAAAAGCTATATTTGATTATTAATTTGACCTCTGGTGATGGATTTTGTTTAGCCATTTCTCAAGTCACCACTTAAGATGGAAGCATAGTTTGGTCTCTTTAACCTCATTCGGACTTTGTCATTATAAGCAAAGCTATAATTTTCACTCCAGCCAAGTCATTATCCAGGAGTAAGACAATTCTATCCATGGATAATTTCTTAATAGCTCCTACTACCATAGTTCCGGATGTCAAGCCACACTGTTATTATACTTTGTTCAATTTAACTAGGATATGTTCTCCACTTTTCCTTTTCATTGGCATTTTTTGACTTTCATTGCACTCTCAGGAGGAAAATCTGCAGTCAGAATCTTCCAAAGTCCTGAACAACATTGGTTATCATGAGAAATGTGGGAGAATTGGGTAATATGTTGAGCGAGGCCTTTCTTAACCAATGAACATCAATGGATGGGGGAGTGATATTAGGGGACACTGTTGTGTTCGGGAAGTGGGAAAAATCAATGCTGGGGATTGGAAATGTGAACCCTACTTGCCGAAGGGACAAAGGGTGGTGAAAGTGGAAAATTCAACGTATCGGGAGTGGGGGTCGGTAGTGAAGGGGAGGACATGGGCTATTGTGGGAAGGGGAGTTTTATAGGTAGTCATCACTACTGTGGCCTTGATGCGGGGAGTGTGCATCATGATGGTGGGCAGAACTAAACTGTATGGATGGGTTCAGGAGGTGACAGTTAGAGTTGTAGTTGTAACTCTAGGTGGTGGGTAGGAACATCTGGGGCATCAGTAGTGGTGGGCTCAGGGAGTATCAGGTAGAAAGGGGTTATGGAGATTCTGGGAGGGGTGGAGGGTGGGTGATTAGCTGATGACCAAGCTGACCCTAGGACACACTGTGCCTAGCACGATCTGCATTACCTTGTTCGATCTCTCAATTCCTATATATGACCATACCCAGAGTCAGTGCTATTTTTATACACCAGAACAGAGGCTTCATTTGTGAGTGACAGGAACCCCTTCAAAGGGGTTCCTGTCACTCACATATATGAATCATGCAATTGCAGAGTACAAGTTGAAGTCGTTTGCAATTATATCATCGTGCACGTGAAATGTATGCAGTTTACCACTGTTTGGAGTGCAAATGCTGGTCACAAGCAATCTCTTCCATGTCACTGATCCTTACAGATTAAAAATAAACAATTCTGTAAATTAGAAATAAACCTAGATGACTTTAAGAGAGGCATCTGCGGGCCAAATATAAGCTACATAGGGGCATGAAACTGATTCACTCTCAACTTGATTTGTGAGTATAATGTAAGACATTCTTACAAGCAATGATTCTTTTTGTGGGTGAAGGGCTGATAGGAGAAGGGTTCAGTACTCACACAGAACTTGCAATGTCCTAATGTTCCTTTGCGATATGACTGGTGGTGCTGTCAGCTGAATAAGGAACAATGTCAAAGTTCCACATTGAGTCATTCCATGACCCTACTTGTTGGAATGCTCTACGTCCCACCGTATGGAGCAGTAGGCAAAGCCACCGGTTGTGAGTGATGCGAATACTGACTGCTCACATTACTAAGCACCTGTTCTATTTCTTATGTTCCCCACACAGATTCATTGCAAACGTGCCTGATGGATCCAGACACAGCAGGTGTTATCGTCACAGAGAAATAGACGAGGAACAGACATACTAGCAAGCAACCTGCAGCATATGGCAAGCACCTAGACATGAAGAGGTCACAGCTGGAGGTTCCCTCAGAGTGCGCAGGAAATACAGGAGGGCCAGTGCAGGGACAAAGAACCGAGTGGCCTACTACCTTCCTTGTTCATGTGTCTGTATACTTTTACAATGTCATAATCCATAGAAACCTCCTCTGATAGTAATGACTAAATTTCATGTGCAGTATTTGCTAATTGGTTCTGAATGGATAATGTCCAGTTTTTCTTCAGTCACTTCATTTGTTTTGCTACTTTCTCAAATGAGAAAGAAAGCTTCCACATCACTTTCCTCAAATTTTGGTAGGGCCTGTCCAAATTTCAACATTTCCTTATTGGACTTTAGATTACAACTAAAACCTTCCTTATAAGAGCCTTCTTTGAAATCTGAAATCCCTTTTTTAACTGCTTCTGTTTAAGTTGGTATCTGACGTCTTTATTCCTTTATTTTCTCCTTCTCTCTCAGCTGAATCACTACTTCCTTCCTCTTAAATTCTCTTTCTTGTGCCTTTTGCCCTCTGTGAAATGCTTGTTCCATTTCTTCCTTTTTTTATTCAGGCTGAAGTCTATTCAGTTCCAGTCCATTTTCAAAGTGCTTCAAATAGAGACACAGAACAAGCCTATGACCTTTCACCAGGCTTTGAAGCATTAATTCTGATCTTCTGAGTATTTCCAGTATTTTCTTATTTTATTTCAGTTTCTGAAACACAAGGAGAGAAGCACAGAAGGTGATACTAATTAAGTAAATGAAGACAAGTGGACTGGGTAGACTAAATGGCTTACTATGCAGTCCATGTTACTATACGTAACCATCTCCTGCTTATTTCTGGCCAAATATGCCAAAGTTAATCTCATGCATATGCAACGCTCACTGTCTTTCACTTGACATGTGGTGTCATGTGCCAGAAATATCAGAGGCTAGATGAAAGCCACAGAACAAATTATTCTTTTCATTGGCTGAGTGTGCTATGTGCATCAGACTTTTACAGAATGCTTCAGTTAATGATAAACCATTAAATGCTCAGAAAGAGAGAGCAGCCAGGATATGGTAAAAGTAATTTTCCCCTTAGCAAGGTTAATCACAAAAGGTTATTACTGTATCCATGGAATCCAAACAAACCTTATTAAGGAACACAGACTATCCTGCCACCAGTACAGACATTATCATTTTGCAGACGTAAGAGCTCATCCAGTAAAAGAAACATTACTCCTTCTGAATTAGAATTAAAATTAATAACATAACTCTGATGTCAAACTTGTTTAAGAAAGAGGAATGACATTTCAATGTCTTCCAAAGAAAAAAAAGCATGGCCCCAAGGTGAGTGAGCATGTTCAGTATAATTTATGAGGATTAAATTGAAGAATGGAATGGCGACAAGTCTCCAGCAATGTCTGAGATTAACACAAGCTGCTGTGTGCTATAACTGAGAAAACTGAAAAACTTGTTATTAGCTTGTGCAGATATAGTTTATAGAATGGCTTTTATCTAACTGTCAAGGTTAGAAAGTAGACTGATTAAATAGCAACATTGATAAAATAAGTTATATGGACACAGGCAGTTCTTCCACAATCAAATTTATTTCTCGTATTTAGTTGGCCTGAGAAGATGGCTCACAATCTTCTGTCTCTTTTTTTACAATTGGGTAGTTTCCCGGGCTACTTCAGCGAACATTAAGATTCAAGAACAGTATAGGATTAGTGTTACATAAACTGGATCAGGTAGAAATAGTAGATCTCTTCCCCCTCAGTGAATATTAGAAAAAAAAATCTGTGTGTCTTAAAATTCATATGGTCTTATGGTAATTTTACTGGTGTCAGCACATGGTTTTTCCATCTGTTTTGTGCAACTTATAACAGTCCAAATTACTTTCTTTATACAAATACACCAAGCAATACTTTTGAAATGACATCTGTGGAATTTTAGTTTAATTTTGATGTGACTGGAAGATTCTCCAGTAAATGGATTATCCTTGTTAATAGAAAATGAAAAGTGCAAGTCACTGCTAGGAATTTACTACATATCTCCTGATAATAGGGTTGAAGAAATATAGACATATAAATACATTAGAGCAATATGTTGTAAAACAAAGTGGAGGATTTTAATATTCATAGGTAGAGGCAAAGGATAGTTCAAGTTGTTATGAAAATTAATTTTTAGAAGCACATTAGTTCACATCGGTATGTTAGGATTTAATTCCTTAAGTGAGCTATATTTAATACATTGTTGATTTTTTTGCATTGTTTTGTTGTGATTTATTTAAAATAAATTATTTATCAAGTGCTTTACATTAGACAATAATTTAACAAGCACAAAAAAAAGGGTCTCTTGTGGTGCAGTGATAGTGTGGACCCCTGGACCAAGAAACCTGGGTTCAAGTACCACCTGCTCCAGAGGTATGGAAAAAAATCTCTGAACAGGTTGATTAGAAAAATAGGTTAAAATAAAAGAAAGTGCAAAAATCGGCATTTTAAATGTGGTGCACAGATGAAAATAAATACAACTGAATGGATTTATAAAATACTTAATTAGAACTGCTAAAATTTCCCACTGCAGTAGATATAGAAAGGAGGAGGAAAATATTTCCATTTTTATTGCACCTTATATGATGTCTTAAAGTACTTTAAAGCTAATAAAGAACTTCAGAATTATAGTCACTATTGTTATGTAGGAAACAGCTGTCAATTTATGAACAGCAACTCTCACAAACAGCAATTTGACAATCACTAAATAGTCATTTTTTATAACATCCATTGAAAGATCAATATTGGCCAAGAAATCAGGAATACCATCACTGCTGTTTTGCAAAATAGTCCAAAGGAATCTTCCACATTTAAATGAGAAAGCAGATAGTGCTTTAGTTTACCATCTCACCTGAAAGGTGGCAACTCTTTATGGTGCTGCATTAGAATATTAACCTAGAATTTTGTCTTCAGGTCTCAAGTGTGGGACTAGAAGTCAGAGCACTCTTGACTCAGAGACAAGATTACCATCAACTGCTACAGTATCACCAAAATGAGGATTAGAATAGTTGGGTAGTTGTTTTTGACTGGTGCAGACTCAATGGGCTGAAGGGCCTTTTTCTGTGCTGTAGACGTCTATGATTCTATGACGCTGTTTTCTAAGGCTGCAGCAGTACTGTTTAAATGAGGAGTTGAATACTTACAAAACAGCCTGCTTTGAAACTATTCCTTTACAACTTGCTGACTGAACCTTAACAATGATATTGTTTGCTTGATATTCAGAACTGCACAAAAGCTGTGGATATGCCTATGTTATGCATAAGCAATTATTTTATGACATAAGCCAGGTTTTGATCATTGCTATCTATAGTAATCACTTTTGAATGACTGAACTATAAACATGCAGTGATTAGACCAGAATTACCAATCCTTCATTTAGACTGCAAGGAACATAGTAACTGCTATAACTGCTGCTTGGCCTGCTGTGTTCTTCCAGCTCTACACCTTGTTATCTCAGATTTTCCAGCATCTGCAGTTCCTACTATCTCTGATACATAGTAACTGCTAGTGGCTTCTATGACAACCAAAATCAATGATGTAAAACCATCTGATCATTCCGGCAGCATTTGTGGAGGCAGAATAAAGTACATGTAAATGTGAATTATTTTAACATTAACATCTTATTTTTAGGTTCAGGTAATGGATAGAAAATGATTGCATTTCCTTTATGTTTTATGGAATTATACAAGATCCTCTTTCAGAAGTGTATTGCAAACATACTCAATGAGCTAATTTAATTCCATGCTGGATGCTTGCCACAATGAAGAATATCAGAAAGAGGACTTTGGCACTACCAGAATAGGTATAAATCAACTGGCTGCAAAGTAAAGCTGCCTTTAATCTGCCTCAACAATACAGTTTATGACAGCCTTTCTAAAACAAATCACACAACAATAATCCTTATGGACAGCAATAACTAGATTGTCAATTAATAGAAGTTATAGTGTAACAAAGAAGCAAGGGATATATCCTTTCATTTTATATTATACATTAAATTTTGTGAGATTTGATGACAAAGTTAAGATGCTAGTGCAACCCAGAATCTTTAGGCTGTCTAAGTAATTGGTAAATCTTTAATAAAAATAAACAACTGCGGATGCTGAAGATCTGAAACAATAACAGAAATTGCTGGTGAAATTCAAAAGATCTTGCAGCATCTCTGAGGAGAAAGCAGAGTTAACATTTTGAGTCCGGTGACTCTTTAGAATGGTAATTCTTGTTGTTTTCTCAACGTATGACTGAGTTCACACACACTTAGCATTAAGACGACATTGACCTAAAAATGTGAAACCACTTTAAAATATTGATATTAGGCACTAAACAGATTATGCTTAAAATTAATTTTAAAATCCTTGCTATGAATTAGGAAAATCATTACTGGTATTCTTTAATGTTTTACACAGAAACAGCCAGCAAATCAGCAGATTGTTTTTATATTTCAAAGGTCTAACCCATTTATTACGAATTTGCATAATTTATTTAATCCTTTTGAAGCTAACAGGTTTAAATATCGTAACTTGTCATGGCTAACAATTAACAAGTTAAGAACAGATAGCATGAAGAATATCATAGATACAATTATTCCGCTGCTCCGAGATATTTCTTATTGTTGCCGCAATTGAAGAAACTATGATTGAGGTATATGCGAGCCACAGGCATGAAACAAGAAGATTCCAGATTTTCATTGCATTGTTTGCTGTAATATTAATCCAGTAAGATTCTTTCTGCTAAAGGTACCTTCATAAAAGATTCGTCCCATATAACAGAGATCAAATGGGAAAAAAAAATCCCAAGACTGAATGCAGTTTTCAGCGGTGTTCATTGTTTGGATAAATGTTCAGCGTATATATATTCATGTAAATTGATGCTTCTGTCTCATCAACAGAAATCGTGTCATTATGAAGAGTCTAATAGAAGAAGCTGAGAGTCATAGATTCGTCTAAACACACATTCTAGCTGTAAGTATTTAAAACTGCAACTAATATCACATAATATTTTACATTTTGTTTCTGTCTTTCACTTAATTGTAAATAATCTGGTGAGTATTTACCAGATATAATGGGTTTAGCTGTGACATCTTAGTACACTAGGTGGCAGTCAATTTCACACATTGATAATTGTGAAGAAGTTATACGTTCAATTGGAAGTAGTTTTTTTTATGAGGTTATAATCATACCCTCAGTTCAATTTCCCCACTCTCAGATTGCCACAATACATCTATGTTGCTGAAAACCATTATTATTTTAACATTGCATCACATATTTACCCGTGATTATGAAAAGGGATTATATCAATGAACACTTGGAGAAGTATGTAAATCGAGAACACATTTTCAAGAAGGTTGAGCTCGACTAATTCAATGACATTTTTCAAGAAGTTACCAATACATAGACAAAGACATAGACAATTTTGATGGTCTTGAGGAAATTGTGCAACAGACAATCTCAAATAAGAAATTTGTCACAAAGTTAAGGCATATAGGTATTGCTGGAAAAGACACATTTGTCAACTTTTCAACTTGCATTCATCAGAATAATTCACAAGAGTACCAATGTAAACAACAATTTAAAGCTATATGAGAAGACTGTGCTAAATAGAAGGACACTGTGTGGAAAGAACATGTACACCAACTGCGCCTATTTCACTAAACAATGTAGGTAACAGCCATTCTCTGCTTCATTCCACAAGGCAGTGTCTTGACACATCAGTGTCAGCCTGCCTTGTTTAAATTGAGAAAAAGTTCGGTGGTTAACCAACACAACATCTAACTGGCAAAGTTTCCAATGGCAATGCCTCCACCAATATCTGTCTACTTGTTAACCATTTAGTATCCTCTTCTTGCACAAAGAAGTGATACTCAAATTCCATACTACCAAATATTTTCTTTAATTCATTCATGGGCATCAATGGCTGGACCATCATTTAATGGCCTTTCCTAGTTGCTGATCAGAATGTGGTAGTGGGCTGCTGCCTTGAACTTTGTGGTCTATATGGTACAGGTACAACCACAATGCTACAACAAATGCTATTGGGGAGGAAATTTCAAGATTTTGACCCAGTGAAACTGAAGAAACAGCAATGTATTTCCAACTCAGGATGGTGAGGGACTTAGTGGGCAGCTTGTTATTTACATGAAGGAATATAACAAATACGAGCAGGAGTAGGCCTGTTAAGCCTGCTGCACCATTCAAACAGATCTTGACTGATATTTAGAGATAACACAGTGTGGAGCTGGAGGAACACAGCAGGCCAGGCGGCATCAGAGGAGCAGTAAAGTTGATGTTTCAAGTCAGGACCCTTCTTCAGTTCTTACTTTCTTTGACTAATAATTACTTCTGCACCATTTTATCCCATGCTCACATATGCCTTAATGTCATTAGTATCCAGAAATCTACTGATTTCTGTCTTAAACATGCTAGCCTTCTTGGGTACAGAATTCATAAGATTCATTAGTTTCAGAGAGGAAATTTCTCTTCATCCCAGTCTTAAATGGTTTACCCCTTATAATGAGATTATGGCCCTAGTTCTAGACTCACCAAGCAAGGGAACATCCTATCCACCACTATTCTATCATGCCTTGTCGGAGTTTTATAAGTTTCAATGATATCACCTCTCATTCTTCGAAATTATGGAGGATACAGATACAGTTTCTTTATTTTCTCTTCATAATAAAATCCCACCATTCTAGTGATTAGTTTGGTGACCACTTGTTACACTGCCTCTATGGCAAATACATCAGTCCTCAGTTAAGGGTTCCAAAACTGTGGACAATAAGCCAGAAACAAAATCAGAAATTACTGAAAAAAGCTCAGCAGGTCTGGCAGCATCTGGGGAGAGAAAGCAGCGTTAACATTTCAGGTCCATTGACCCTTAGAGCTGGAAAAAGGTTGATATATATGCTGAAGATGGGCTGGGGGAGGGGGGGAGGTTGGGATGGGGGGTAAAATGATAGGTGGAGATGGAGCCCAGAGAGAGAAATAAACAGTTGAGCAGGAAGTCAGCCTGGGAGGACGAATAGTTTTGAATGCATTATTGAGTCCTGAAGGCTGCAGGTACCAAGCAGAAAATGAGGTGTTGTTCTTCCGGCTTGTACTGAGATTTGCTGGAGCACTGTAGCAAGCCCGAGACAGAGATGCTGGCCAGGGAACATGGTGGTGTGTTGAAATGGCAGGCAACAGGAAGCTCAGGATCATTTTTGTGGACAGAACATAAGTGTGCTGCAAAGCAATTGCCCAGTCTGCCAGGTGTGTTCTCACCAGGCAACTTGGAGCAAGATATCTTTATTTCTGTATGCAAACACCATTGCAATGAAGGCCAACATACTATTCCTAATTTCTTCCTAATTGCTTACTGCACCTGCATGCTAGCTTATACACACTTATGAACAAGAATACTCAGGTTCCTCTGCTCATCAACATTTCAAACCTGCATCCGCTCACATTCCCACTAGTTTTGTGTCATCTCCATTTTTGGAAATATCACATGTGGTCTGCACATCCAAATCATTTATATACATTGTGAACAGCTGTGGTCCAGGAACTGAGTCTTGTTTACCCTACTAGTAATAGCTTACCATACTGAGAATAACCCATAACTCTTTTTTCTGTCTGTTCACTAATTCTTAATGCACAGTATAACATTACCTAAGCTCATAGACTCTAAAAGTGAATAGCATTGGTAGAAGGTTGTTTGAATGGCAGGGTCCAGAAAGTAGGGCAAAATGCATGTTTCTTGGATTGAGAAGATATACTGAATTAAAATCCATCTTGGTCTTCATACAAATAAATATTTTGCATGTGAATGTAAAAAGAATGACAGAGATCTATCACAACCAATAGAAACACAGAAAAATAGGAACAGGAATAGGCCATTCTGCCCTTCAAGCCTGCTCTAATTAATTTAATTAGTTTAATTTGGTGTCATGTTTGGCACAACATCCAACTTAGTAGCATGTTCCTGGTTTCTACCCATATCCTTTGATTCCTTTAGCTTTGAGTGATATATCCAACTCTTTGAAATCACACAATATTTTGGCCTTGACTGCTTTCTGTGGTGGTAAGTTCCACAGGTTCACCACTCTGTGGGAAAGAACTTTCTCCCCATGTCAGTCCTAAATGATTTATCTTGGTTCCTAGACTGTGACCTCTTGGTCTGGACTCCCCTATATTACTCATCCAGCTTGTCCAAAACACACTGAAGCATCGTTGCATTCTACTCACCGCTCAACCCCTCACCAGTTTTGTGTCATCTGCAAATTTGGAGATTTTTACTTCCTGCATCTGCCCTGTCCAATCTGTTAGAATTTTATAGGTTTTTATAAGATCCCTCCTCATTCATCTGAACTGCAGGGAATATAATCCTAACCAATTCAATCTCTTCTCATACCTAAGTCCTGCCATCTCAGGAATCAGACTAGTAAATCTTTGCTGCATTCCCTCTATAGCAAGAACATCCTTTCTCAGATAAGTAGACCACAACTACACACAATATTCCAGGTGTATAATTACAGCAAGACATCCCTGCTCCTGTACTCGAAACCTATCGCTATGAAGGATGACATACCATTTGCCTATTTTACCATCTGCTGCACCTATATGATTGCTTTCAGACACTGATGAACAAGGACACCCAAGTCTCATTGCACATTCCCCTCTTTCAATTTATCGCCATTTCAACAATAATCTGCCCTCCTGTTTTTGCTACTAAAGTAGATTACCTCACAGATTTATACACATTATGCTACATCTGCAATTTATTTGTCCACTTGCTCAGCTTGTCCAAATCATACTGAAGCATCTTCGCACTGTCCTTGCAGCTCACCCTCCTGCCTGCTTTGTGTCATCTGTGAATTTGGAGATATTACATTTAGTTTCCTCATCTAAATCATTAGTATATATTATGAAATGCTGGGGTCCTACTACTGATCCTTGCAATACCCCTACAAGTTGCTCCCTGCCATTTGGAAAAAAACACTCATTTGTTCTAACTTCTTCAAGGTTTTATCATTCATAACCTCATCACCTCAGGTGACCTCCCACCCACAGCCTCCAACCTCATCGCTTCCCAACCCTGCACTGCCCGTTTCTATCTCCTTCCCAAAATCCACAAACCTGACAGCCCCAGCCGACCCATTGTCTCTGCCTGCTCCTGCTCCACTGAACTCATCTCCGCTTACCTTGACTCGGTTTTTTTTCCCCCGGTCCAGGAACTCCCCACTTATGTCTGGGACACCACCCATGCCCTCCACCTCCTCCAAGACTTCCATTTCCCTGTCCCCCAACACCTCATCTTCACTATGGACATCCAATCCCTGTACACTTGTCTTCCCCACACGGATGGCCTAAAAGCCCTCCACTTCTTCCTCTCCCGCAGGCCCAACCAGTCCCCCTCCATCAACACCCTCATCTGCTTAACGGAACTTGTCCTTACCCTTAACAACTGCTCCTTTAACTCCCCCAACTTCCTACAGACTAAGGGGGTGGCCACGCGCACCCGCATGGGCTCAAGTTATGCCTGCCTCTTCATAGAATATGTGGAACAGTCCCTTTTCTGCTGTTATACTGGCACTATCCCCCACCTCTTCCTCTGCTACATTGATGACTGTATCGGCGCTGCCTCATGCTCCCACGAGGAGCTTGAACAGTTCATCAAATTTACTAACACCTTTCACCCCAACCTCAAATTCACCTGGACCATCTCCAATACCTCCCTCTCCTTCCTGGACCTCTCCATCTCCATCTCTGGTGACCACCTCAAAACTGACATCTATTTCAAGCCCACTGACTCCCACAGCTACCTGGACTACACCTCTTCTCACCCACCTTCCTGCAAGAATGCGATCCCCTACTCCCAGTTCCTCTGCCTCTGCTGTGTCTACTCCCAAGATGGGATGTTCCACTCCCGCACATCCCAGATATCCTCCTATTTGAAGGACCGTAACATCCCCCCTCCGGTGATC